ATTTTTGAAACCCAATAATTTCCCTATTGAATCATCCTTTGTGAAATCGATGTGTTTACTACACATTATATTACATTTAAGGGTATTAACATTTGGTAGCAAAAAAAAAACTACATTTTCGCTTCCAAAAATGCCTGTAATCTCGCGTTTTAAGTATGTTTCTATATCAGTAATATCATAAGTTCCATCCGGTATAGTTATTATTTTATCATCTATGTAAAATTTATTATGACCTGATTCAATATTAGGAATGGTCATGAAAGTTTCAAAATCTGCTAGCCCCAAGTAGTATTGTTTGTCATCATCTAAATATATTGGTGGATTAAAATCTGCAGGGGCCCAATTCTTGAAAGTGGTGAAAATATTCACCGGGTGAAATTGCTAAGCTTTCACCAAAAATTTACATGATCGTATTCTTGAAAAAAAAAAGGTGAAAATTTTCACCTTTTATTGGGTGAATAGATTCACCACCGAAAACGGTGGTGAATGTTACAAATTTCGGTGAAAACGTTTATTTGTTATTGTAATTGTCAATAATTATTGACTATTTTGTCAGAGTACTCTGATTTTGTATTTTGAATCTATCATTGCATTACATTATAAAGAATGGAAAACGAGTTATTGGTAATAAATTTAATTGAAATTGAAGACATCTTGATAGATGATGCAGCGGTTGGCGGGGGAAATAGAATAATGAGATATAGACGAGAAAATCCTTTTGAGATACTAAGTGATTATTTATTCAAAAAATTATTTAGGTTGACCAAACCTCTTGTTCGCCTTCTTTTGGAAATTTTAGATCCTTTTCTAGAAGCTCCAACAAGAATATCAGCGTTGGATAAAACTACAAAAGTAAGTTTAATTTTTTTATTCTATATCACTTCAATTTCTGAAACATCAATGCGGTGAACATTTTGATTTTAGGTTCTTGTTGCTCTGCATTTTTATGCTACAGGCTCTTACCAAATGGATATTGGCTACAATATTTTCAGTGGCGTTAGCCAGCCATCAGTAAGTCGATGCATTGAAGAGGTTACCGAAGCTATTAATAGGCCAGAAGTTTTTAACCAATGGGTAGGGTTTCCTAACAACATGGAAGAACTGAATGCAGTACGACAAGGGTACCTTATCTTTGAGGAATAAGTAAGGCAAATGGACGTTAATATATCCAAATACGTTTTAGATTTTTTCAAAAATATAACTTTCCGGGAGTGGTTGGTGTTATCGATGGAACACATGTAGCAATAATAGCCCCTAACATCCATGATCCAGAACATCCAGAGCACATATACATCAATAGAAAAGGGTATCACTCAATTAACACCCAATTGGTAAGTATAATCCATGTTTTTCCACCCAATATCAATACTGCTGTTCAGTGGCGGCTGGTGATAGGAAAAGTTGACGGTGCACACACTCAGCGATTGTAATAACTATTGAACTAAAAAAAAAAATATTTTAAAAGGACCGACATATTTTGCGCCACTGCCACGGCCCCTTAGGGCCAGCCGCCACTGCTGCTATTACTGCTGTCGAAAAAATTATAAAGCTCTAAATTTTAAACTTTTAGTATGAACTTGTCTTCTAGATATTTGTTGATTGGATTGGGATTCAGCTAGCTAAACAACAACAAATAAAGGCATTGATAATAATAATATAATTTTTTTGTTTCCTAGATATGTGATTCCAATATGAAAATTATCAATGTAAGTGCACGTTTTCCAGGAAGTGCTAATGACTTATATGTTTGGGCTCACTCATCTGCTAGACATAAGCAAGGGAAAGTCTCTCAAGGCGTCACCCCAATGCATATTATTTACTTGGTAATAATTAATCCTCCTAACTAATAAAAATATATATGATGAAGCACCCAACATTCGTTAGCCAAACAATAGTTTGTGTTTAATTTAATTTTATTATTACAATTTTAGGCGACTCTGGGTATATGCTAAGGCCATGGCTCCAAATTCCTATTCCTCACCCTGAACCGGGGAGTCCGCAAGAGAGGTATAACAATGCCTTCAAGACTGTAAGGAGCATAATTGAACAATGTATTGGGCTATTAAAAATGCGTTTTAGATGTCTATTAAAACACCGAGTCTTACATTATACTCCAACAAAGAGCTCAAAGATTATTAATGCTTGTGTGGTTCTACACAATTTATGCATAATGCATAATGTACCTGAACCAGAACCATATGAGGAAGGCAATGTTGATGTTGATTTGGGGATTTTCAATGAAGGTCAGGGCAATAACCTTTTCGGAGTTCCATTGCAAAATAGGGATTTGGTAGCGGGTCGCAATCTTCAATAACAAATTATTTTAAATTATTATCAAAACTGAATTAAGATATAAACAGGGAGTTTCTGGAAGGTACCTATTTAATAATTTTTTGTAATAAAGGTGTTAAGAAAACATATTGATTTATTTACTTTATTAATATAAACAACAAAAATTAACTGTCTTTACAAAAATAGAAAACACTTAGAATCTAAAAATAATACAGGAATCTGAGGAAATAACGTTTCCCACGTTATTTCATGATCACTAGAATGACAGCTAAAAGAAAGTAGGCATACCCCTGCCTTTTTCTTTTAGCGCAAACAAAAAAAAAACTAGAAAATACTTCCAAAATCAAAAAATAAAATAGGAACTCTGAGCAACTAAAGTATGCATTGCCATTTAGTGAATACATATTATTTTTCAAATATATGTATATACAGGATGTTTCATTAACTTTGATAACATTCAAACAGATAAAACTTCTTTTATGATAACACACAAAATGTTAACAAAGTTAATGAAACACTTTGTACTACAATAACTGAATGACAGTTTCAATTATGAGAATCTCTATAATAATTATTATTATAATAAACTAGAAAAATTAATAAAAAAATGCTTTTTGAGTATAAAAAAATACTTGGGAACTCAGACTAGAAAAACTATAGCAATACATACGTATATCCTATCCACATTGACCACAATCCAATGTCCAAAGGTATAGGTAAATTTAACACCTTTCCCTATCAAATAGCACTGAAAGGTGATAAATTTTACCTTTACCTATGGGCATTGGATTAGGAATAGATAATACTTAGCGAGGATTTTCATGCATCCGTTATTCCGTCGAAATATGTCCGTAAAGTCTTCTATTTTGACATATTTATATACGATTATGTCAGAATAGAATGTTAAACGGACATATTTCGTCGGAAAAACGGATGCATGAAAATCCTCCCTTACTATCGCTAAATCAATTCAGCAATGGAGCTGGCCTAGAAAGTCACCTATCTTTTGTAGTTGCTCTCCGTGGTTCTTTAAAATTTCCAATTTTTTTCTGTAATATTCTTCTTTGATCTTTAATTTTTTTTCACCCAAAAGGACAAGTTTGTCTGTGCTTCTTTGGTGCTGCAAGAGCCTGTTTTTTTTTGAAAGCACTTGCCTCCTAGGCTTTGTGCCTTGTTCGGTTACCTGCTCATTCGAGGAGTTAATATTAGTTATATAGTCTTTTTCACATGTGAATGCTTCATTGGTTTCTTCCATGTTATTATCTGTAGGATTGTTCTGGAAAATAAAGAAAAATACTAAGTTTAAAAATTAAAGATATATAGGGCCGGTTTCTCAATAGCGAGTCACTGCCGGGTTAATCATAATTCCAGGCACTTGGCAATGTTTATCCTGGAGTTACAAGCAACCCGGAGGAAACTCGCTATTGCAAAACTTGCTCATAATGTTGAAACAAAACGAAGGAAAAATCGAGGAAAAAATAGTTATTTTACCTGTACAGTAGCATTTAAATCATCTTCAAAATTGATAATACAGACTGACTCTGCGATTTCGGTGTCCCCTTCAAGTAGTGTTGGCTCTAATGTTTTAATCACAGCTTTGTCCACTTCATCTAGGTCATTAACTGGTGGAGGGCCACCACCTGTACCATTCCTGTATGTTTTAATTATGGTATTTTTTCTTTTTGCACCAATTTTCATGTCTTTCCATGTCTAAAGAGATAAGTGTTATCGAGAACTAGTGCTTGGAACAAGTGACTTGTACCAATTAGGTACGGTAAAAAAACATTGCAACAATTACATACAGGAAAATATTTATGGAATAACACATAATTACATTATCACTATCAAGTAGTGAATTTTTGTAAGTTTTATTTTACCTTACATGTTTTTGAATAAGCCTGATTCAAAATAATGAATATTGCTCGGAATATTGTAATTATATGAATGATTAAATAAAAACTCTCACCCTTTTCCATTGCTCTGCAGTTTTATTAGCTCCCGGAATTGCGTTTAGCGCGTTAGCTATATTGTCCCATCTTATATTCATTTCTTTTTTTGTAAAAGAATTTGAAAATCTTCCTTTCCTCAATTCATTATCATTGTTTATAACTTCAATTAAATGTTCTTTTTGCTTCGTCGTTGCATGTCCACAATATTTCTTAGACCTCTCGTTAAGTTAAACTGTTGAATTTACAGGACAAAATAGGTAGCAATAGATGTTTTTTTTAGAAAACTAATAATTAATTGCTGCGGTCGCCGGTCGATTGAGGGTTCCGGAAAAAAAACACAACACAAAAGTAAGGTTAAGAATTGTAGGCGTTTTCAATTTTCCTCCTAAAAAGGCTATATTCCGACGTTGCCAAAGTGTTATTTTATATTCACCTCGAGTAACTTCACCCACGACTCAAGAATACAAAACTAGTGAGGAAGGTGAAAATTGGGTGGTGAAATTTTTCACCGGGTGAATATTTTCACCACTTTCAAGAATTGGGCCCCTGGGGCCCAATTGCCCGAAAACATGAAATGTTAAAAGAAGACATCGAGGGATAACAACTTAACCCTATTATTTTCTATTTATTTTGTTTACCTTACGATTCTTGTGTTTACCTTTCAGAAATTATTATTCCACAATCGTATGTGATATTTTTGTTTATTTTTCTGTTTTTTGGGCGATAGATTCATTATTTAATCATTATTTTATATACAATATGGATTGTGCACCAAAAAAGACTTTAACCAAAGAGCAAAAAAAGGTATTGGTGCAATTTATGGAGGAGCACCCAGAATTAAATTCTGGAAAGTTCAGTAATGAATTTACTTTCAAAAAAGCCAAAGAGATGTGGATGGATTTGGCGAATCTATTGAATGCAATGCCCGGATGTTGCAAAGAGTGGACTAAATGGCGCAAAGTAAGTACCTAACATCACGAGTAGGTATATCTCAATACTGAAAATATCTCTGAAAATATACACATTCATAAGTAGGAATCTGGATTTTCATGGGATTATTTTATTTGCAGACATGGCACGACTTAAAAAATGCCACCAAGGCAAAAGCAGCTGCAAACAAAAGAAGCTTTGAGAGAACAGGGGGCGGTGTCTCTCCAGTTTATGTTTTGGACCCTGACGAAAACCAAGTACTGGATATTCTGAATCCCATACAAATTGAAGGCTTGCCGGTTCTAGAATCCGTTACACCGTTTAATTTTGATGAGATAGTCTTAAGAGATGTACCAGCCGAGGTACCAACTGTAGCTGAGCAAGTTAAGGAGGAGCAGAAAAAGGGCGAAGAGAATAAAGAAAATGTGGGGGCAAAATTAAAAAAAAATAAATGAAAAAGCTACCAAAGTGGTACAGAGCCCCATACAAAAACGCGAGAGTCGGGTGCAGAGGCTAACCCATTCCATTGATGCCACAGAGAAAATGAATTCTCAAATGTCTCAAAAGCTAAAAGAGAAAAGAATTTATCATAAGAAAAAGTTAGCTCTTATGCAAAAGGAGATAGATTCCAAAAATAGGATTGCAGATGCTCTAGAGAGTGTGGCTGCCGCTCTGAGGTCTGAATCTTTCAATTCAAGGATATAATTATTTTTTGTGGTACATATTATATAAGTTTACTGCCGAAGTTTTTTGTGATAGGATAATTGTATTTATTTATTGTAAGTATTGTAATTATTATGGGTTATTATTATGGGTTATGGGTTTTGTTTTTTTTTTTTTTGTTTCAAGAGTTATATTTTTTTTGTTTTTTTTTTGTGATACCTACATACATATAGTTAAGATACTTTTTATTTATTAGTTATTATTTTCTAGAGATATATTAGTTTAGAATTACTTTTAATTGAATCAGTTCCTCTTTCCGATTGTGATTATGTAAATACTTCACTTATTTAATATAAAATGTGTTCCTGATTTTTATTTTTTTTATTTTGTTAGTTGATGTGATTAAAGGTTTGAGTTTATCAAATTAAAATAACACAAGTTTATATCAATATACTTTTTTTATTCCCCAAACTTAATTGTCACATTCATGATCCAATTTGAATTAAATTTGTTCTGGAAAAAATGGACAAGGTTGAACAATTTTTAAAAATAATTTCTAATTATCCTCTGCTGCACTTGCCGCCCAGCTAAAAGATCTGCATTTGCTCGAGGACCTCCGATATTGTCTAGTGGATTTTGTACAATGTTTAGGATACCCAAATCCGCTTCTCGTTCACCTTCATCTTCCAGTGGCACATTATTTTGGATGCAAAGGTTATGCAGTATACAACAGGCATCGATGATACTGCAGCACTTCTCTGGTTTATAATGAAGAGCTCTGTACTTCAGCAGGCATCTAAAGCGCAATTTTAATACTCCATTGCAGCGCTCTATCGTACAGCGAGCTTGTTTGTGACAATTATTGTATCTCTCGCCTGGAGAGCCTGGTTCTACATGATCCAACGGAGTCATCATCCATGGACGGAGGGCATAACCTGAATCCCCTGTAACATTGGTCACTTCATCGATAGCACGACTGACTGATGATTGAGAAATCCCATGCATGACACTATATCCGACATCTGTTTGGTAGGAACCTGCCGCATAAAACCGTAATGCTGTAAGAACCTAAGCAAATAAAATAAACAATGATGTTAATATTTTACTATCATGCAGATTCAGATTGAAATTACCTTTGTTTCTGCGTTCAAGGCCGACAATCTTGTTGGAGGTGTCAAGTGTGGCTGCAACAAATCAACCAACTCTGTGGCCACAGGTTTTGATAACCGATATATTTTCATGAATTGATGGTCATTGAGCTCTTGAAAAGCATCCTTATGCTGAAAGGCCATTCGACCAAAATTTACATCAATTTCCGCATTTTCCAGCGCTCCAATTGCTTGCAAAAGGGCTATATCTTCCAAATTAGCCATGGATAAATAATAAATACACTTTAAAGCCACAAAACCGCACAAAAATAAAAAATCTCGAAAGTAAACACTCGAAGGAAAACACACAACAAAAAAAGATAAACAAAACAAACTTCAAATCTGCAAAAGTGAGGTTCGAATAATAGAAAATCGCATACGAAAAATGGAATCCGCCTAGCTCAACCCACTCGATGTCAATTCGTACGAAAAAAGTCGCATACGGATTTCAAGAATACAAATCGTCAATTTCATTCGAATTTTTTCCGAATATCGCTAAATCCGTATACGGATTTATTTCAAGAATTGGGTCCCAGCTGCACAAAAAAAGCAACATGACATGGTTTCTATGACACTGTTGGGACTTGCTGTTGTTGGGAGATGCCATGGTTGACTTCGATATTTGGACTATTTTTAGATTCCTTTAAAAATTGTGGCGCCATCCTAGTACAGAATCGCAGTAGATACTACATAGTGAGATGATAGTGATCTCGAGTACGAGGTGCAAAATTTAATCAATCCAGAGTGATTCGTTAACTTCCATGTGAATATAATTTATCGTTTCTTTATTATATAGGAAGTTTAAAAAAGTTATAGAAATTTGAAATGCTTTCAGGCTGATACAGAAAAGTTAAACTGTAACATCAAGAAATTAGTGGAGTAAGTTCAGATTTTCTGACGTTTGAAGAGAAGGAAAATATAATATTTGGCAGGCCTTATGACTACATAACTTATCCTAACCAGAAATCGCTGCGAAGAGGTTATGTCTTGTCTATGAGCAAATTTACGTCCTTAACACAAAAATCCAGCAATATTTGCTTGCATCAGAGGGAAACAATCGCCAAGCACGTATTTCTCCGAAGCCGTGAAATAGCTTCTTATACTCAAAATCAACTATTAATGGCACATTGTAAAGACATTCCACTAAGCCAATCCAACATTGGCATCTCCAGGGATTGTCTCAAAGCCACTCCATTAAAGAACTTTGTGATTCGATTGATTTAGTAAGACATCTTCACAATTGCACTCGTGTAAATAGTCCCTAATAGAAACTAAAAACATAATATGCTATTTGACATTTTTATCTAATTTTTTTTTAAAGATCTACATTGAACATCCAGACGAAATGCTTGAATTAGGTGTCCGGCCTCAACACATTTGGGATTATTCGATAGCAGTCATGATGCTTTCAGTTAAATCTACATATACCACGGAAGACACAAGACAATTGACCATGAAACAGAGAAAATGCGTATTTGAGGGTGAAGTTAAACTCAAAGGTATTTATTGATTACAATTTTTCGTGAATTTTTTGACCTATTTTTCCTCAGTCGACAAAATTTATACGTACACAGCGTGTTCAATTCAATGCAGAATGGACATCGCTCAAGAACGTTGTGGTTGCGTACCATTTTTTTACCCTAAAGTACCGGGTTATTCATATTGCAATGTGGTGAGATTAAGATGCATTGCGAAAAATCTACCAGCGATTCTCGACAATGCCAATTGTGATTGTTTATTGGCATGTAATCACACTATTTATGATGTAGAAGGCAAAAATACGTGAGTATTTAATAAGTTACTGCTGAGGTAACTGGCAACATATTCAAGTAAAACGATGAATCTGATTTGTGATATCAATTTTAGGACATCTTCTAGACAAATGGAGATTAAATTTATTTCTTGGCCAATGATAAGGTATAAGCGTGAAGTCTTATTTGGATGGGTCGATTTATTAGGTAAAGATGATGTGAATATAATTGTAGCCTTTTTTTGGTTACGTTATCTTCTGAATATTTTTAGTGTCATTTGGAGGTATTGCTGGATTATTTTTAGGATTTAGTCTTCTATCTGCGGCAGAAATTATTTATTATTTCACTCTGAGATCTTGCATTGCTGCTTTTAAAGAACGAAAATATTTGGACAAGTATTTAATAATACAAAATAAAGAAATAATGAATAGAAGAATTTTTTTTTAGAGTTCGTGAAGCAAACGATGGGAAACCACAACCGCCGTATGATTTGAGCCTTGTCCCGTATTTTATATCGCAACCATTACCTGGTTACGGTATAGATTTGATTGCGAAAAAATTCAACGATAATAAATTTAATAATCAAAAGATCCAGATGTTCAAGAAAACTAACGTGAGTATTCAGACATAATTATTATCTATTAAAAATGTCCATTCCAAACAACGACGAGATTGATACATATAGTAGGTATTTTTAATACCCATTTGGAATAACGCCATCCTTATTTATCAATCCCGAATCAGATGAAACAAAAATGACCAACAATAACGAATGTTGATTGCTAATACGTCAATTTCATGTACAAATAGGAAATTCCCAACCTAATTTCATTTGTGTGTTCAAGAAGCGACATGCGTTAAGTCACTAGAACGACTGGTACTTCCAAATAGGTGTTAAAAATTACTATACAGTACTATTTATGATGTAGAGCGACTCTCACACGATCAGTATAATGACAAACTAACCTGGCAAAAATCACCGTATAGCAGTGCCGGATCTACGAATTTTTTGAGGGGGGGGGGCAAAGATGTAGATTCCGCTCCTGTTAAATATTATTTTTATAAATATATTCAGAAACGAGCTCATAGATTTCACAATCTATTTATTGGCGGCTCGTGGTCTATACAAGAAGGGGTTCACACATAAAGTAGGTTCCAGGTGCCGGTAGTTGAAACCTACCGCAGGTGCCGCCGGAGTTGGATTTTCTTTTCGGGCGCCACACTCAGAAGCGCATTTTAAGCCTCCAAAAAAATAATGTATTGATATATCCAATGACATAACACACATAGATATTCCATTGAACAAAATTTTGTGTCGCCAACATCTAAAAGAGAGATCCATCCCCGGTGTATCCCTCCAATTAGGTTGGCAAATTGTTACAGATTTATATTTTATCGCGCTGCAATCAATTGGCATATCAATGCACCCATCGAACTTATATCATATAATTATAGATAGACTAACGAGTTGCACCCGTGTCCATTTCATCATTATTTTGGTCAATTGAATGACGGGGAAGGCGGGTCTTGTTCACACCTGTGATGCATCCCCACCATGACCCCCTTCGTGCAGCTCACCTCTCCTGACCCATGAAGGGTCCGGAGGTCTTGCCATCACAATAAATATCAGTTTATGAATGAGATTCGGTGTCTATCTATTTTAAGATGTCATTGGGTATATAAAAGATATATTATGCTTACGAATCTTGTCACCGGGCCGACCAGTCGTGGGCAATGCGTGGTTCAACGTGATCGGACGTCGAAGTTCTATTTCCTCCGTAGAAGGCAGCATAATACAGAGGACCTAGAGTGAGGTTACTATGGGGTAATGTGGAAGTCGGCTGTACTATTAGAAGATTGCCGCGCTTCTTCTGTGTTGAACAATTTAAAGTGAAAATAAATAAATAATCAAGACTGCAGGACTGAAGGTCAAAGTAAGTTCAAATTCAGTCCTCGCTCAGAATTAAACAATTTGGAGAGTAGGGGTGGGTTATGTTTTAGGCGCCACCGACTCAGGACAGATGAGTCGGACTCTCCAGGATTTTATCTGGCTCGAGGTCCTTACAACTTGATCGAATTATTAAAATTTAAAAAATAATACTAATAATGATAAGTATTGGGCTGAGTGCATAAAACCAAATAAAACTCAATTAAGTCAAGTGCTATGGAGTTCGTTTAATAAAAAGAAAATTTAAGAAAAATATTTGAAATAAAACAATTGTGGTTCACAATTAATAATCAAAACTAAATTTAAATTTGAAAATTCAAAATACAAAATCTTGTGGTAACTCAAACAAGTAAACCAAAAGTTGAAGACAGAATATAGAAAAAAAAAAAAAATAAATATTGGAACAGTTACCAGTCACAAACCTTAATACAATGATGTGACCAAAGCTAAATAGATAATATTAATCATCCACATGAAACAGGTCACGCCTAACTAAAATAAATGTACTTTCTAGTTGTTTTACTTGTCACTTGGTACAAGTAGTACCTACTGAATTATACCCTTATCTACCACGGTGATCACTTTGGCGCACAAAATAGGGGCAAAATGTGTAAAATTGAAATTAGTTATATAAAGTGCCAACACAAGAATACTTAAACTGAAGCTAGTACGATACCAATATGTTCCAAGTGATGGCAGTAGGTTCAATTAACCTGGTTGGTCCCGGTTACAGGTTGTAGCCGATATGGTCAAACGAGTCGTACAGTTCAACAGTACTAAAACAAAGGTATAACCGTCCAAACAAAAAGTTGTAGGTTCTGGTAAAGGTTGTTGTTGCCTTACAACTGTGTAGGTTCCGATAGAGGTTGCCGTACACTTTAATTTATGGCCGTAAGGAAAAACCCTAAAGAAAAACTGTTATAGCACTCTGTATTTGTAACTTAACCCTAGCGAAGGCCAGGCACTTTGAAATAAACCACAAGAAAATGAATGTAACTTAGTCAACCATTGATAGTTAATTGACTAGCTCTTGAAAAATATTTAAATAATTTGTGTATTAAAAGCAGAATTACACATATTTGAAAGGAAAGAAAATGTGCTTCAAGTTTCCGAAGAAAATCTGTCGTTATTAGGTTATGTCTCACCTCACCTATTGGAATGGGTTTTATTTGCCTCGAAAATACTCTGGATTAGTCTGAATCGAAGTCTAGATTCGAAATCCTGGAGTGGGTGAGGTGGTCTTTACTATACTCCTTATAGACTGTGAGATAGGGACTTTTTAGTGGAGTCATTTTTTTTTGTCTGGCATTTTGAGGGCTGAATGTGGCTAGTAAGCTGATGAGAATATGGGGGATTTTAATGCCTGCCTCCCGTTCGGAAATTTGCAGAAGAAAAAAATTGATTTACATGAAGATTTTTTTTTTTAATGATCTCAAATTTTCTGGCTTTTAAATAAAAGATTGACATTAATAAATAGTTCACCCATGAAAAATACCAGATGCTTTTCAATAGCTGAAAATGTGGCGATGGGTGTCAACTTCCAAGAGAAAAGAAAACATCCTTCCGCGTTTACTTTTCGTCTGGCAATCGAGAGAATAAAAGGTTTTGTTGTGAAAATAAGGCTGAAAAATCGCCAGACGGTAATCACAGTTCGAAATCGAGTTTTCCGGCAAAACATTCTGTGGACATTTCGAACAGGGGGCAGTTATTAAAACCACTTATATTCTCATCAGCTAGCTAGCCACATTCATCCCTCAGAATGCCAGACAAAAAAAAATTACTCCACTAAACAGACCCTATCTCAGGGTCTATTAGGGCAGCTTTTCACTAATGATTGAATAGAGGTCAAAATCCACTGTGGGAAAAATGTGCAAAGCAAAACTTATCGAATGGTTGGTTGTAGAAATCCGAAATCATCGGCCAAATTATGGCACTTTACGAAAACGTAATGCAACGTAAGGCAACTCAATGTACCATAAATTCAATAATTATTAAGAATATTAGGTTCAAAATACCTCAAAGGTGAAGACAAAATTTAACTTCTTCCGAAAGACCTTATTTCTTGGAACCTCCAAACGTGAAAGAAAGAAGCACCACAGGGAACTAATTAGCTGTCCTAGATTTGAGGAATAGAGATAAGTCAAAGTAACGACAAATGTCAAAAATTTATCGTAGGTAATACCATAAGAGCTCAGATTTAGCCGGATATTTTTTGGCTTGGTCTCGAATACTTACTTTCAGGAAATTTAACGAGAGCTGTTCTGACAAAATCACGAGAGCGCAGCTCGAGTGATTTTGTGGAACAGATCGAGATAAATTGCATGAAAGCAAGTATGAGAGAGCAAGCAAAAAAATATCCTGCTCAAAATCTGAGCTCGAATGGTATTTAGTACGGCAATTTCACGAATGTAACATCAAAATAAAAAATGTATTTATCTCAGATAACAAAACACTTTTAATAAGCTAAAATGATCGAATTTGCGAATTTTTGTGACACAATAATTTGACAGATGATTCAAAAATCAATTTAATATGCCCTTGTTACTATGGTAAAGATAGCACCAACAGAAAATTTATCCGATTTTTTTATCCAGTTATATTTTCTCTTCCTTCCTATTTATCCGCTAGCAAACTACGATTTTTGACATTTCAAATGGGATTATTTATACATGAGTGGAATTGTCGGTAAAATTTTTATTAAGTTTTGGTAGGTTTTATCAGGTGCAGGACAAAAAAACAATTTCCTTTTTCAAAACCTTGCCGACGTTTCGATTTATTTAAAATCTTTTTCAAGGCTGAAAAAAATAGCACACAATCTTATTATGGTATTTGATCAGAACTAGGACTGGATGCTACAAATCCTAAACTAATTACATACCTATTTCTCATTAGTAGGAACTCATTGTAAAAGAAAAAATAAAAACATCGTAAAACACATATTACATGGAGGAAACAGAAAACTCACAATCAAAATTGAAATAAATATAAACGGGACCATATGATTTTACACTAACAATATATATGACTGGAGCCGGAACCTAAGAATATATTAATAATATTATTATCCTTTTTATCCCTCTCCGCTTTGAGAATTTATGAAATTCATTAGACCCAAAGGGTAATCTAGGTAATCACTATGGCATTTTTAATTTTGTTTGTCCTTCTCCATTTCTTTTTTTCGTCTTATACTAATTACTGTGAGGATTATGTTGCGCTCGCCTTATACATATTAATTAAATGATTGTATTGTATGTTAAGTCCCTGTATGTCTAATCTCGAGTTTACTGTACTATTTAGGGCTATATGTATCATTTCACTTATCCCTCGATTATAATAATTGCTCTCTCGATACAGTACCAAGACATTATTGAAGTCAAATTGGTTGTCAGAATTGAAATGATGCTGGCTTAAGGCCGTTTTCTCTGCTTTGTCTCTGTTGATTTTCCTGCAATCATATTTATGCTGATATAGGCGATTTTTCAAGTACTGCTTCGTCATACCAACATAACATAGATCACATCCCAAACAAGGGATTTTATAAATAAGGGCGGTGTTGGTTCTTTCAGTCTAGTGAAAACAGACCTAACTGAACTTGTATTGTACAAGGCCAGTTTGCAGTGCGGGTTGATTTTTTTTAATGTGGTTTTGGATTTTTTCCGATAGTC